TTATCAAGCCTGAATTCGACGATAGTCTCAGAATCAGTTGGGCGGAAGCTAGACAAACTTAAGTACGAGATGGATCAGGAGTTTCGTGTTGTGGCCAAAGATCTCGGTCAGGAAATCGAGAAGAAAATCTTCCTAGAGAACAACAAAATTCATGGCTGGTGCATGCGACTTACACGAACCGAAGCCTCTTGCATTCGAAACAAGAGCAAATACCAAGAATGTCAAACTCTCAAAAGTGGTGTATTTTTTACTACTTCGAAACTCCTTTCCCTCCGCCGCGAATTCGACCAGCTCTCAGAAAACTATAACCGCACTCAAACCAGTCTGGTGCATGAAGTTGTCGCTGTAGCTGCTTCCTATTGTCCAGTCATTGAAACACTCGCCTCTATCCTCGCCCACCTCGACGTCATCGTCTCTCTAGCTCACACTTCCGCTCACGCCCCTACTTCTTATGTCCGTCCTAAAATGCATCCTCGTGGTACAGGTTCCACAATCCTTAAAGAAGCTCGTCATCCTTGTATGGAAATGCAAGATGATGTTCAATTCATCACCAACGATGTCTCTCTCGTTCGTGATGAATCCTCTTTCCTAATAATCACCGGACCGAACATGGGAGGCAAGTCTACTTATATTCGACAAATCGGTGTTATAGCACTGATGGCTCAAATCGGTTGTTTCGTTCCTTGCTCAGAAGCAGAACTTACAATCTTCGATTGCATATTAGCACGAGTGGGAGCATCAGATTCACAACTTAAAGGTGTATCAACCTTCATGGCAGAAATGTTAGAAACGGCTAATATCCTCAAATCGGCAACTTCGGAATCCCTCATCATCATCGATGAATTGGGTAGAGGAACTAGTACATATGATGGTTTTGGTCTCGCATGGGCTATCTCGGAATATATCGTTAAGGAAATAGGGGCATTTAGTATGTTCGCCACGCATTTCCACGAATTAACAGCGCTGGCGGATACTTTTCCCCAAGTCAAAAATTTACACGTCGTCGCGCATATCGATACGGAACAGTCCTCTCAGAAAATAAAAGAGAAGTCACCCTTCTCTATAAAGTCGAAGAAGGAATCTGTGATCAGAGTTTCGGTATTCATGTTGCGGAATTGGTCAAATTCCCGAAGAAAGTAATTAATATGGCTAGGAGAAAGGCAGAAGAATTAGAAGATTTCGGTACGAGTACGAAGGTGGATGTAGATTATGGTGATCCTAGTTCTCAGGAGTTTGCAAAGGAGGATGTAGAGGAGGGTAGTAGATTGTTGAAGGAGGTGTTGAAAAAGTGGAAGGCGGAAATTGATAAGAATGGGGAGATGGGTAAGGAGGAGAAGATTGAGGTGTTGAGGAGGTTGGTGGGGGGTGATGAGAGGTTATTGCAGAATCCGTTTTTTAGGGGTATAAAATGTTTGTAGGATGAAGTTGGGGAGGGGGATGGGGCGCAGGTGAGGAACAGGGAAGGAGGAAGAGCTAGATGATAATAATGCCCGGCTTTATACTTGGACTTCTGGGAAAATGTGAGATATGATAGGGACGGGATGGATGGCGCTATTTGAACGGATTTGTACAGTATATGGTAAGCAGAATATAGATGGCTTTTACACACATAGTAAAATGAAATAAAATTATATATGTAACCTATATCTTATACATGGAAACGGCTAAACGCAAGAGACAATACATACTATGCGGGCCCTAGGAGTATAAGCTACTGGATACACTAATCCCCCGCCTTGAGATGAATATACTATGATCTGATTTGATTTTGCATGACCAAAGAATTGATGACCGCAGGAAATCTGTTGGTTTGAATATCTATCTACATAACAAGCGAATTTTGCGAGGGACCTCAGATTCTGTGGATGATAGACATGTTCTTGAAGTTATTTCAAACTCTGAGCGTGACGTAAATGCGGGACAAACGACCCCGAACATAGGATATGCAGATGCCGCGGTATACTTAATTCTCAACCCACGAATAAAGTTCAAAGAACGTCCATTATCATTATGAGGCTCACTAGAAGCTTACCTAGTGAATGTTTCTGGCAGCACTTTTTACCCACATAGGGATGGTGTGGTGTGTGCGACAGACAACGTTCTACTGTTTGTTGTACGGAGCATGGAGTACAGCTTCACCGTTTTTTTATAGTGCGTTATCTCTCCACTACAGGGTTTGATAGGCGTTTCATCGCTTCGAATTACTGCAAACAGTCATCGCTTCGCAACCGAGGTACGCTAAAGAACCCCGCAAAAGATCACGGTGCATGGAAGAAACGAACGATGCGAGTATCAAGAAGCTCGAAACAAATTCAATGGGAATGGAAATGGAAATGGCCAATCCGCATGGGTAATGTCAATGTCAGTCCTGAAGGATTTCTATTCAACCCAAATACATGTCTAAGCATATCTCATTTCATCTTTCGCATCTAAGCAACAATGCTACACGCGACTCGAAAATTTAAATATTGTTGGTGAGATTACTATTAGCCTATACCTACAATAAGACTCTTGACAGCGGGGAAGAATTCGGAACCTCAAATCAACTTCAGTACCCTACGATTAGAGATCAGTAACGCAAAAATAGAGATAGATGTTGAGACAGTAAGAAAGGGCTCAAAATATGGAGTCGCAGATTGAAAGCGATGCTAAGGAAACAGTGGGCAAATCATCATTGTCCATTCGATCGCAACCGCTAGATTTATCACCATCAAATAAGAATGTCACGGCAGACCTCCAAGTTATCAGTACTACCCAGAGCAATACATTCTCTTTATCTGCGGTGGAACCAGTGGATGTTCAAATACGAGATCTCTCCGTCAGCGTCGACATTTCCCCTTCAGCATTCTCAATAGAAAGATTGATACCACGAAAAAGTGCCCAAAATGGAGTCGCCACATCCACCACGAAACGAATTCTACACTCAGTATCTGCCTCAATGCCTGTCGGAACACTTACTGCTATTATCGGGGGCAGCGGTTCGGGAAAGACAACTATGCTAAACACAATGGCTGAGCGGATGATAAGTGGACGATTGACAATAGGTGGTACGACAACATTCAATGGCATGAAAGGTGTGAATAGTGTTCGTAGTGCGTATGTCATGCAACAAGACGTTTTACTACCGTCTTTGACAGTTCGAGAAACACTACGATATGCTGCGGATCTACGATTGCCACCGCCAACGACTGAAGACGAGAGAAGGAAGGTTGTGGAGGAGGTAATTTTAGAGCTTGGTTTGAAAGAATGCGCCGACACAAGAATTGGAAGTACCCAACACAAGGGATGTTCAGGTGGTGAGAAGAGAAGAACCAGCATTGGCGTACAGTTATTAAGTAATCCAAGTATCTTATTTCTGGACGAACCTACCACTGGACTTGATGCTACTAGTGCATTTCAACTAGTCAGAACTCTTAAAGGTTTGGTCAAAAGAGGCCGCACGGTTGTTACCACCATCCACCAGCCCAGATCAGAAATATGGGGAATGTTTGACGGCCTGGTAATCTTAACAAAAGGTAGTCCGGTATATTCTGGAAAAGCTGCCGATTGCTTGCCTTGGTTCAAAGAAATCGGAATGGAGCTACCGCCATTTGTTAACCCTGCAGAGTTCTTGATTGACATGGCAGCTATTGACAATCGCTCGCCTGAACTCGAGGCAGTTTCCTCCGCAAGAGTTGAGAGTTTGAAACTTGCTTGGGCAGAGGAAAACAAGAGAAAGTTCTCCCGAGATAATGAAAAGGGTTCATTTGCTGAGGCACCCAATACTCACGATCTTGCATCAAAAAAGTGGACTCGGCACTCTCCTTTCATCCAGCAGACTCGCGTGCTAACCTCTCGAACCTTTGTCACAACCTATCGAGACCCCATGGGCATGTTTGGATCTCTTATAGAAGCAATCGGATTAGGTATCATGAGCGGTTGGGTGTTTTTAAACCTGCGAGAAGATCTTTCTGGTATTCGCAGTCGCCAGGGAGCGCTTTATAATGCCGCCGCGTTACAAGGGTATCTCATGCTTTTGTTTGAAACATATCGTCTGACCATTGATATACAACTTTTTGATCGCGAGAATAACGAGAATGTGGTAGATGTTATTCCGTTTTTACTAAGTAGAAGGATTGCAAGGCTCTTTACTGAAGACTTTCCCGTTCCACTGATCTACTCAGTTATTTTCTACTGGATGGCAGGTTTCAGATCGGATGGTTCGACTTTCCTCACCTTTTTTGCCATCGTGTTGCTTTGTCAATACATTGCGGTTACTTTTGCCATGACGTGCGTAGCAGCGTCAAGAAATTTTCCTGGTGCATCTCTTATTGCAAATATGGGTTACACGGTTCAGAGCTTTGCCTGTGGTTACTTCATCCAAAGTAACACAATACCGGTATATGTGCGCTGGCTGAAATGGACAGCATACGTTTTCTACGCATTTGGTGCTTTCTGTTCGAATGAATTTGTGGGCCAATTCTATGATTGTCCTTATGAAGGTGGAGAGTCAAATCCACAATGCGTAGAATACACAGGCACATTTATCATAGATTCTTTGGGATTTCCTGACAACTGGATTGTCAGGCCAATCATTTTTCTACTCTGTTATTCGATCATGTTCTACGTCCTTGCGGGCATTGGTTTACGATTCATAAAGGTTGAAATGACAATTGCAAGAGCAAGAGGATCAGATGCGGACTTCTCTGCAGGAAAGGAAAAGATGACAGTGAGATCTGCGGCGGAGGTTAGAACTGTGAGTTGATATTTTATTATCCCTTTTCCTGTAATATGATAGATGGCCAGCTCCGTCGTTAAAATTGTACAATAATACGACGGTGGAGGACAGATTGCATTTCACCATATCTGTGTGTCTTTTCACGGTGGACTGCAACTAATAATTATTACAGGTTGATATTAGCCTTAATAGATTTGCACTAGATCTAAAGAAGCGAAACTCGCTTGGAAAAAAGAAACCCATCAAACCCATCTTGAATCCAGTCACGGCAACATTCCAAGCTGGAGTTTTAAATGTCATCATGGGACCATCGGGAAGTGGCAAAACATCTCTTCTCAATGCGATGGCATTGAGACTGCGTAATTCCATCGGAACAAATTATCGAAAAACAGGAGATATGACTTTCAACGGTTCAGTGCCGTCAGCCTCTGTCATACGATCTGTTTGTTGTTATGTCTGTCAAGATGATGATGCACTACTTCCTTCCTTGACGGTTAGGGAAACGCTTCATTTTGCTGCTGGACTACGGCTTCCATCATTTATGACTAAGGAGCAAAAAATTAGACGTGCTGAGGATGTCCTTCTAAAGATGGGCCTAAAGGATTGTGCAGATAACCTTATTGGATCTGATCTTATTAAAGGTATATCAGGAGGTGAAAAGCGTAGAGTGACTATCGCAGTTCAGATTTTGACCGATCCAAGGGTAGGTCTAAGAAGTCAATCTATTCCTTCACTACTTCCAGTTGTATATCATCTAACACTCATCATAGGTACTTCTCCTGGATGAGCCAACTTCTGGTTTGGATGCATTTACCGCTTCATCAATCATGGAGGTGCTTCAAGGTCTTGCACAAGAAGGGCGAACTTTGATTCTCACAATACATCAATCTCGTTCAGACACTTTTAAACATTTTGGAAGTGTACTTTTGTTGGCACGTGGCGGGTCTCCAGTCTATGCAGGTAAAGGATCTGACATGATTTCTTACTTTGAGATGCTAGGCCATCCATGCCCTACAACAACAAATCCAGCTGATTTTGCACTTGATCTAATTACCGTTGATCTACAAAAGTCAAGTCGGGAAGAGGCCACTCGGTCCAGAGTGAGGGATTTGATTAGTTCTTGGTCATCTGGGAATTTTAGAAAAGCTCTTGTTCCAACTACCATATCTACTCCTGCAGAACTTGGTTCCCTTGTCCGCAAAACATCTGGCTTTCTTTCTGCATATCCACTTCTCGTCCATAGAGCTTCTATAAACTTTCGTCGACAGCCTAACTTGCTTATGGCTAGAATCATGCAAGTCTTGGGTCTCGCCATAATTCTCACTTTGTTCTTCGCACCTTTGAAACACGATTATTATTCTGTACAAAATCGATTTGGATTTATCCAAGAGTTTTGCGCATTTTATTTCGTTGGTATGTTGCAAAACGTTGCGGTTTATCCTAATGAAAAGGATGTGTTCTATCGAGAAAATGATGATGGCATTTATAGTGTCGAAGCATTCTTCGCTCAGTATACTACGCTTGAAATACCCTTTGAGATTTTAACATCGTTAATTTTTGCCATATTAACGGATTTGGCTGCTGGACTGCCTAGAAATGCGCAGGTTTTCTTTGTGTGTTTTTTTAATTGCTTTTGTATTGTTAATTGTGGAGAGAGTCTAGGTATTATGGTATGTCTATTTTCTGTTTTCTCGCCCTTTAATTTTTAACGAATCACTAACATCTTCAGTTTAATACCCTCTTCTCCCACACCGGCTTCGCCGTAAACCTTACTAGCGTTTTCCTCTCCATCGCTCAAGTCATGTCCGGTATCCTTTCAATCAACATGCCCAGCTTTCTTCAAGGCGTAAACTATCTCTCTCCCATTCGCTATTCTATCCGAAATCTTGCACCCTATACATTGAGAAACATTAAATTCACATGCACAGATGCGCAAAAAATGCCAAATGGTAATTGTCCGATTAGTTCGGGAATCGAGGCTTTGGATCTGTATAATTTGAATACGGATCCTTTGTGGAATATTGTGGCTTTGGGGATTTGTACGCTGGTTTATAGAGTTCTTGCGTATGTGTTGTTGAAGGGGATGAGGATGCATTGGGGGGGTTTTGGGAAGGGTGGGAGGAAGGGGGAGAGGGAGAGGGAGAATAGAAATGGTGATGTTTGTGGTGATGGTGATGTAGATGGTGATGATGGGAGGGTGTGAGATGGATTGGAATGGAATGAATGGAAGATGAATTTGGGGATTGGGGGATTGGGATTAATATTTCCTGGGCTTTAAAAAGTTATATCAGGTGAGGTTATTTTATTCCTGATAATACAGAATAGTTTTGATGTGATAGAGAAGACAACATTTGTTAGATGATAATAATTAATGAATTCAATGTCTATCTAATCTTTGAGTTTCGTGAAGTCATTATAGTGTTGTATTTATCTAAATAAATTATTTTGGTGAGTAATGAGGAAAAGGTGGAAAAGTGGACTTTTCTTTGTATATTTTATAATTTGAGTGAAGAAAAGATTGGGTTGATAAATGGGGAATGGGAGGGGAGGGAGGTTTGTTAGAAGGGGATGGAGATGAGTTTTGGGATGATTTTGAGCTAGGGGGGATGAGGATAAAATTAAGAATATTTCTTCATCCTCTTCTTCCTCACACATTCCCCCTCAGTCTTTACTTCTCCCCCCCTACCACCCTCCTCTTTTTTAATAATCAGCTAATAATACTGGAAAGATAAGATAAAATAGACTAGGTAATTACTACGATCTTAATCTTAAGCTTACAAAGTAAAAGTAAAAGTATAAGTAAATGAGTAGTCTCCAAAAACGAATGTCTTTGTTCTATGTTTTACTTTAATCTTATAATATCTAGCTAGGTAGGTGGGGTATCAATACTAAGGTCTTGAGTCTTGATATAGGATATTGGAATGTAGAGGGATAATTTTTTTGGGGGGGGGGGGGGATATTTGGGGATATTGGCTTTTTTTTTGGATTGTTTTGGATTGTTTTGTAGAGTGTGTGATTATGAAGTATGTATGTAGTTGGTCTTTTGGGGAATTGATTATTATATTGTTATTATTATATTATACTATAAATACTGTAACGTAGTTTATCATCATATGGGCCACTTTTCTCTCAATTTGCACCTCCAACTTCAATACGCGATTTATTAATAATCTATTATGGAATTGAATAATAAAGAAAGTCGGATACTTTTAGCTATCCAAGCTATTAAGAAAGATAAAAAAAATTAAGCATCCAAAAGGCTGCGAAACTATATAATATCCTATGTATAACAATTCAGTATAAAATGGATGGTTTCATCTCTTGTATAGAATATCGATATAAAATTCATAATATTATAAAATTAAGAGAGAAGATATTTATTCAATATATAATCGATATAGATAAAAGAGGGTTTTCATTTAAATTCAAAGGTGTAAAAGATATAACGAATCATATTCTTGAATCGCGAGATGCGAAGAAAGTTGGAAAGCTTTGGGCTTATCGATTTGTAAAATATTATATAGAATTAAAGATGTATTTTAATTATATTTATGATTTTCAAAAAGCTTTTTATAAGGATTCCAAACTTATTAAAGAGTGGTTTCGATTGATATCGAATATATAAGTAAAATATAATATCTAAGATTGTGATTTTTATAATTTTGACGAAACAGGTTTTATAATAGGAATTATAAATCTTAGTATAATTGTTACTAATGTTGAACGATATAATAAAAGTAAGATAATACAATCAGATAATCGAGAGTAGACGATAACGATCATATATGGCAATGGAGTAAATGAAACTATACCTCTGTTTCTGATAGTTCAAGGACAAGTCCATTTCTCCAATTGATATATCAAGACCGATCTTTCTGCAAATTGGATTATTAAATTTATTAATAACAAATAAACGAATAATGAGATAGGTTTAGATTGAATAAAGCATTTTGATAAATATATAATTCATCGAAGAAAGAGCAAATATCAAATATTAGTATTGTGACGGAAATCCCTGCTTTCCTCCCACCTTTATTATATAAGAAACCTCAGGTACATTAACCATGTCCACACATGATACGATTACTCGAGATTAGTATGCGATTTAGGTGACCTGAGGATCAGATCCGGACAAGTACTAGGTATCAATGGTTATCGGTAAAGTAAGATCATTGAAGGAATAAATATGACTTCTTTTTGCTTAGCTATTGTGGCTAGGCCATTCATTTGTGTATATATAGAGTAGCTATCCCCATCTACAAGTGCTCTTCACCTATAGATTCTAAGTTAAATACAATTGCTGATCTATAAACGCTCTTTTGGACATATTCAGACGAACTATATTATACAAATCCAACAGATTTCTAAATATACTATTAACTTTAAACTTATATTATTATCCTTTTAAATATATACTTGATTAATCATCTAATCTATATAGAAAACCTAAAAATCTACATTACTTTTATCTAATATCCTATTTCATACTTTGTATCATATATAAATTACAATTACTAAATAATTAAACTAAACCTCAATTATATCATTTTAAACTTTAAATATCCTTCTACTTTTACTTCTACTTCTAACCTTATCATATTATCATATACATTATACCCTCACTAATTCAATTTATTATAAACCCTAAACCTCTAATCCTCTAATCCTATACGAACCTACCCTCTCAAATCAATTTATCAGTTTAGCAGGATAAGATAACGAGATAAGATGTAATGAGATATAATAAAATGATATAAGATAAAAAGTAATAGAAGTAAAGAAGTAAAGAAGTAAAGAAATGAGATTGTAGAATACATCTAAGCCTATATAGTATAAGATATAAGATATAAGATGAAATTTATAGATTCATTTATTCGATAGAAATTAAGATTATATTATATCTAATATAGTTTTTTTATCATTATATAGATTATTTTTCCCTCAATTTATATTTTCAAATTCATATTATTTAATAATTACTAAATCAATTAATTAAAACTATTAAGAATCTAATAATTTAGGATCTATTATTTTATTAAAACAAGTTCTTAAATTGTGATCAATCCTTTTATATTTACTATAGTATCGATTAATAAATGATTCCTTATTAGAATTTCTTCTATTTTGATATTTATTATATCGAATTTGAATATCCACTTTTTTTTATAATATTATATTTATAGTTTCCTGTCTAATAAATACTCCTTCTTGATATAATTAAGTTTTTTTAATATATCGATATTTATTTAATATTATTAAAAGATTGGGTGAAAGAGGCCTCTATATTGATTATATTACTACATCTGTAGGCATATTAATCTCCTTTTGGTATCCTCGGAGGGGACCAATATGCCTGCTTATGGTTCGTCTAATCTAGCCTGTTTAGGTAACCGTATTACTAATCACGACACGTGATTAGTACCGGTAACTTCTATTCCTTTTAACAAATATCTTATTTATCTTTCGAAGTATACGATTCTCTATATTTAAAAATATATTCTTATATACTAATCTCTTTGTATTTTTAACTAAAGCTAATACAATCTCAAATATAGATATAGAAGAGCTTGATTGACAATAAGCCATTTGAGATTTTACCAAAGTTGATTATAAAAAAGCTTCAATTGGATTGTGAGATATTTAAAAGATCCAAGAGTTGGCAGATTCTAAATTGATAAATGGAGGGATAGGTATGTAAATTTGAATATCTAATTTAAAGAGTACAACTTAAGAATCGAATAATATTAATCTTATTACTCGAAAACCAATTTTCATATTCTGAATTGTAATCGAATTGTAGATGTATAGTTTTAAAGGCTATAAAGAATTCAATTTTAATGATATAATTAATATATATTTTAATAAACTGCTCAATTTGAGAATTATATGAATGTTTAAATATATTAAAATATTCAATATCAAGTGATTGAATTAAATGATTTGAATATAATAGTAACTTTACATATATAATGTTAAAAGGAATAGAAGTTACCGGTACTAATCACGTGTCGTGATTAGTAATACGGTTACCTAAACAGGCTAGATTAGACGAACCATAAGCAGGCATATTGGTCCCCTCCAAGGATACCAAGAGGAGATTAATATGCCTACAGATGTAGTAATATAGTCAATATAGAGGCCTCTTTCACCTAATCTTTTAATAATATTAAATAAATATCGATATATTAAAAAAACTTAATTATATCAAGAAGGAGTATTTATTAGACAAGAAACTATAAATATAATATTATAAAAAAAAGTGGATATTCAAATTCGATATAATAAATATCAAAATAGAGGAAATTCTAATAGGGAATTATTTACTAATTGATATTGTAGTAAATATAAAAGAACTGATCATAATTTAAGAACTTATTCTAATAAAATAATAGATCCTAAATTATTAGATTCTTAATAGTTTTAATTAATTGATTTAGTAGTTGTTGAATAATATGAATTTGAAAATACAAATTGAGGGAAAAGTAATCTATATAATAATAAAAAAACTATATTAGATATAATATAATCTTAATTTCTATTGAACAAATGAATCTATAAATTTCATCTTATATCTTATATCTCATACTATATAGGCTTAGATGTATTCTACAATCCCATTTCTTTATTTCTTTACTTCTTTACTTCTATTACTTTTTATTTTATATCATCTTATCATATCTTATTACATCTTATCTTGTTATCTTATCTTGCTAAGCTAATAAATTGATTTGAGAGGGTAGGTTTGTATAGGATTAGAGGATTAGAGGTTTAGGGTTTGTAGTGAGTTGAATTGGTGGGGGTATAATGTATATGATAATATGATAAGGTTAGAAGTAGAAATAGAAGTAGAAGGATATTTAAAGTTTAAAATAATATAATTAAGGTTTAGTTTAATTATTTAGTAATTGTAATTTGTATATAATACAAAGTATGAAATAGGATATTAAATAAAAGTAATATAGATTTTTAGGTTTTCTGTATAGATTAGATGATTAATCAAATATATACTTAAAGAGATAATAATGTAAGTTTGGAGTTAATAATGTGTTTAGAAATCTGTTGGATTTGTATAATATAGTTCGTCTGAATATGTCCAAAAGAGCGTTTATAGATCAGCAATTGTATTTAACTTAGAATCTATAGGTGAAGAGCACTTGTAGATGGGGATAGCTACTCTATATATACACAAATGAATGGCCTAGCCGCAATAGCTAGGCAAAAAGAAGTTATATTTATTCCTCCAATGATCTTACTTTACCGATAACCATTGATACCTAGTACTTGTCCGGATCTGATCCTCAGGTCACCTAAATCGCATACTAATCTCGAGTAATCGTATCATGTGTGGACATGGTTAATGTACCTGAAGTTTCTTATATAATAAGGGTGGGAGGAAAGCAGGGATTTCCGTCACACCGGAGTTGATATAATAAAATTGAGATATTTAAGCCTTTTAAAAAGAGTATAAAAAATATGTATATTTTTTCTATTTATAGAAGATCATGGTTTTATAAAGTTTTAATTATATCAAATTTGTATATTTCTAATATTGATTAATTCGAATATTCTTTAAAATTTGAAATAATAATATAAAATTATAAAATTAACTGGACTAGGTAGTCTGTGAATACATTGATTTGAGATACTTAAAAGTTAATTTGAAAATGTTCTTCATCTATTAATAATCTTTATTTTCTGTGTGTAATATAGAGGAGTCGTGGGTAGATGGGGATATGTGGTGGCTTATTAATCAGCTAGCTTAGCTGAACTAAAATCTAATAATATTTAGAAAGCAAAGGCGAGGAAAGATGATTAGTACGTTTAGGCTTGACAAAATCGTAATCATATAAAATGTGATAATATAGCTCACTTTATGTTTCGTAGTAATTAACGCAACTCATGTGATTATTATAAATATTTCAAATACTATTTTGGGAATGAAATAGATCTATAATTATTTGATACATTGAGGAGAATATAGATCATTCATCATTTTAACATTTTACAAGAATCTATCTATAATTATCGATTGAAGCAAGTTTTCTTTAAAATAATGTGAACAGTGCTGCGGCTAGGCCGATGTGATTACGCTTTACACGTAGTTATGTTCTACTTTACGTGAAGTGCCGAATCCAGATGGATGTCAGTGGAATAGGATGAGACGAGCGACGAGGAGATGTGCTTGTGCTGTCGGTGTTGGGTTTGCGCTGATCTTTGTTCTAGTTGTTGTTCTAGTTGTTGATTTCTTGTCGACTGGCGGTTGGTCAGATCGGCGAGATTAAAAGATTGAGGTTGGATTGGTCAGCTCGGTAAGTGTATCCATCCTCGCTCTTGTTGTTGTTATTCATATAATGCCACTTAGGGGCACAGTTGTTCCCTCTTAGTAGTTCTTGACGTAGATGATGCGATGCCTGGTTTCTCGTCGGCGTTGAACAAGGTCGGGGAGCTATTTCGAGTATATCTTGGTTAGTCTCAGGTTGTCTTGGTCATGGCAGGAGATGGATATTTGGAAGTCACGAAACCAAGAAATTAGGCACCGGGATAGGGTGAAGAATGAGATAGCGAGGATTAATGTGTATCTCGCGTAAAATATTGGCGACGGGGTCAATACTGGTAGGAAATATTGTGCGGTTAGAAGGTTGAGGCGGGTTGTGATGAATAGTGATTAACTTGGCCATAGTGATTCACATACCAATGATATAGATGCTCCCATGAACAAGGATTTTCACGTATTGTTGTTCTCAAGCTTAATCAAGCAGGAACTGCATTCGGGGATCTTTACTGCAAACTTCCGGCACTATAGAGAGACAGGAGTATATGGATATGTACTGAAGAACGGGTGTTTTGTGTTGATTAGTGCATACCCTGATTGTCTTGCTAGCATAATGCAAGACTCCCATTCCAATAAATGGCACTATATAATTGATCGTGCGGAATGAATAATGACCTCCAGTATGGATGCTATCCCTGCTTTTCAACGTGGATCATCGAATGTGAAGGTCTTTATCGTGTTTGACTCTAACGGTATTGATATGATTTGCTCTCTCCGCTTTTCAACACGGCAGAATTTGACTCTACTTCACTGATCGTGCAAAGTCTTAATATCGAGCCCTGGATGCTTTATTTATCTGATCCGTTCGTTTCGATATTTTGGCCCTTGGCATCTCACCCACAGCCTCTTCATATATATGATACTTGCTCATAACTTTCTGGGGATTAACTTCGATTCTTCACTTTTTCTTGACAAGGGAGCCTGATAGAGATTAAATTTACATCTCAGCCTCTCACTTGGCTCCCCACAGTCCAAGATGTTGGCGCAAAGGTTTGCTGACTATGTGATTTCTTCATAAAAAGTATTAATACTAACTCACGGAATCTCACCTCCTTTAGATTTGTAGGCTGCTATATTCCTGGGCTCCTGGTATTCTTACTGTGTTTTCCCAAACCCATATATCTCGTCTAATTTTGGGGTCTGAAATCTAGAACACGAGATGCGGTTATGACGTTGAGTTCTAGGTTTTAGCGGGCCGATGATTGGAGGTCTGCGCTGGTGATGAGGTGAGATGAGATGCACTGTTCAGGATAATACACTGGAGAATAGAGTGTTCATTAGTGTAGAAACGCAGAACAAAGTGGGTTCCAATATTTGATAAGTTTGAATTATTAAGGAATAATCCAATGATACATATGGTTTTAGTGTAGCAGCTAGATTGGCAATTCAAAAGCTCTTTATTGTTCATAGCAGCTAGGATCACTAAATACCCTGCTGACGGGCGAATGACCACTTCTTGACACCAAAAATGCATTGCTAAGGCGTTAATAACTTTGTCGTTCCGTCTCAATCCTAGGAGGAATCTCAGCAGCTCATTTGCTCACTCTCTTAGGAACCTTCAATGCAAGTAATCAGTACACAAAACCGGTTCCGAGGACCTGGGAGTTCATACTATGTTCAATACCATCATAATTCCGAAGTCTTATTCAAATTCAGGGGTCGGAACCAATAAAACGTGCCCCGGTCATGATCTAGAGTGTGGCTATGTCGGTGACTTGAGACGGGAACATTAAACTGCCAAGTATGGGGTTAGATGATGCAAGGTCGCTTATCAGTGTTTCATCATGGCGGGATGTTTATAGCTTATCAATCACAGCATACTTTTCAGAAATTGCGTTCTTACTGGCAGTGATTAATTCATCCTTATTCTTAGAAGTGACAGATTGTGATAACGAGTGAGTTTCACTAACTAGCAACAGAGGCTAGTCCCAGCGAGAACACACAGAAAGATAGGAGTGCGTTGAGTTGACAGCTTGAGGTAGCCTTTTCGCCTCAATCTCTTGATAAGCTTGTCAATATGCTGCAGCTACCCTTGGCAACGATGCGGGGATACGTCGATCTGTGTCGAGATACACTTGTAGAAACCTATGGGCGTGGGGCCTCTCTCCTGTGCTTACATAGTGGCCAGGCTGCAGCGCCTAGGCTTTATCTTATCTCTAGGCATTTTAGCTATTGTAAAGTTGCAGATGTAGAGCATCGGAGCCGCTCAAAAAGTCATGGACGAATAGCTTATGAGTTTCGGGGTCACTTCGGCAGTCTCTGTAAAATCTGCGACATCTTATGACGTTCTCCTTATCCAATTTGACTTATTGCAGATTGTTTACTCTTGAGGCAGTACCAATATAGCCGAGCAAAGATCCACGGAAGTGGTTGTGGGTATACCTGGTCATTTCCACTAAAGATTTGGTGGTCAAGTACCCCGTGGACGCACAGCAGCATTGTGCACTGGAGTTTCTGCATGGCTTCCAACTGTTCTGGCTATCTGCTCATGGTGAATTGCGCGATCTCAAATATATGGCATGGCAATCTCGTGGCCGTTTACGAGCACAGTATGAGCACATGTATTAGTAATGGGCATACTTTCTCTTGCAATGACATAATGTGGCTGCAGAGAATGGTACAAAGATCTTTGCTATAGGTCGTCACATGTTTTCCTTTGCTAGATTACTTGCATAATTCTGTAAAGCGGGAACATGAATCAAGGCTTGCATCTTCAATATGTTGTAGCTTCTATATTGCTATCAAGCTCCATCTCGAGCTCGGAAACGTTGTTACAATACGAGCTGGGCAAGGAATATCTAACAAAATCCTGAAAAAAAAAAAAACAATCCATGGTGATTTAGAGCATGAATAGATGCTATCTGACTGGAATATAGTTTCCTAGTTCTTCAACAGACATACTTTGCCCATGATAAGATGCATATAAACGGTAACGTACGGAACGGCGTTAAGTCTCGGCTATTACCTTCCGCGGCCGTATAATATGATGTATATATGTGTATTATCCTTGTACTTATACTTCTCAGCACTAGCTGTCCCCAGGCTTAGCGCCGCCGTATGTGCCACAATTTTCTTTTGTCAGGGTGCTGATGTCATGTGATTTATTACCGCTAACAGCATTATATCATGATTTGTAAGTCGCAAACTTGGACCACTTCCCGCTTTATCTAGGGCTCAAAGCTGATCAGTGATGAAACTATTAATATCTTCAGGTTCATGCTGATACTGCATATGAATTGATACGTGGAGCTACGAGTGAGCATGCTGATGCTGAAGCACTTGCACCTCGTATTGTCCCGTATATCATTGAGCTTATGGTAACACTACCCTGCTCCGCGAGTTCGGGGTGACTGTTCGGTGTGTATGTGCCGGTTTTCACGCTGAAATTTTGCAAGTTTTTGTTATCACGGAGTTAATCTGAGGGAGTTCAATTTCCGCTAGTCATATACTCAAAGTTTTGACGCTATTCTTTAATAGTGGGGGTTCCCTGATTAGTGGATCATTATTATCGGAAAAATCTTTACGATGTGGCATCTCATGGGGATATGACAAGCGTAGGGCTGACATACTAGGCCCCACAACTCTAGACACTTTAAGATAAATCAACCTATGAAAAATAAAACATAAAAATCCTGCCATACCGGAGGGGTACTTGAGGAGCTGGGATAAAACACAAAATTTTCCAGCTATCCGAAAATGGAAGTTTTACGGCGAGCCGAGAAGGTTACATATCTTCTGGCTGATTTAGGCGCATCCTTGAACCTTGGGATGAGCTGTTCTGAGGACGATATTACTGGTGGCTCCCGGAAGTCTAGCGCAATATATCCGGCGGGAAAAGATGTATAGAGATAAAGGTAGTTTGAGCATTAGAAAATCTGGCTGCAAGATTAGTAAGGTCGAAAACACATAAACAATAAGTTACTGTTAGACAGGTAGGACAATAGGAACTGTTTGTATTAGCATCATAGAGCTCATGATCTCATCTAACCAAACAGATTAAACCGTCTAAGGACACTCGTGACTTCGACCGGATGGCACTTTCCATTTTTGTAAAACTCTTCACGTTACCTATGGGGCAGGGACTGGCAGCGTTCGATGTTTACCGGCTTTTCAGATGCCACTGTGCAAAGCCTGCAGGTTTATACCACCGAAAAATAAGAATTACCACCACTACCAATATAGATGAGTTCAAGTTACAATTATACGTCAACACCTTGAGCTAGCTCACGATCTAATGACAGTCAGTGTATCACGGGCTACAGGAATTGCTCATAGCCTTGCTCTTAGATAGAGGTTGAAAGGTGCGTGAGTGTACAGCTGATTTATCCAGTGTTTTTAAGAAGGTTCTATTTGTTATTTCATGGATAGAGAGGTGTAATTCTCAAAATATCCGCTAGTAGAGTATCCAGGGTTGAATAAACTTTGACTACGGGATCTATCGTCATGGCCCGAGGTAAACAGTAGTGGACACGAATGGTGGGGTTTAGTCTGAACAGGGTTCAAACCTTCGGGTTCCTGTCGAAGTAAAACTTTCAGATGATCTCGACTTAGCATTCTTTGAATACGAACTAGTTTACAATGTTTCGGTACTGAGTGGCACTCTCTCGGAACTAAATACTTCCTAAGATCTCCCATTTTAGTCAAGATATCTGCCAAGGTTTCACGCTCTTGATTAGGGAGCCGGACAAGGAAATTAATTAAGGTGTGGTCGCACCACCTTTGTGGGCCTTTACATGTATATCTGCGAGCTTAAACCATAAAAGAGGTCGCTCGGGTAGAGAAGACGCCAAATACATCCCCAAAACGTTTTCGGAGTAAAAGATAGGGTTAGTGGGTGATATTATCGTTTCCTTGCACTCATTTGGCTGGCCCAAGTACAAATGAAGGCTAAGTATCCTATACGCTTCTCGAATTGCTATTTGCCATCAAGCTGTAAGTCTATGACGTGCAATACCCTGTGTGTACCCATATCTGTTTATCTATTATTTAATCCCTACACGTACCTTATCCCCAAATTTGGGCTTACCATTCCTGGTTAATTTCAATGTAACCTTGTTTGGTGTCGAATGATAGCACCCGATTTGTCTAAGCGACGCTAGCAGATTACTTCTTTTCGTCTATTCCTGTGGACTTCGTTCCTTCAATCTTCACCTCTAACGGCTTGATCACATTCCCGTCGGTACTCTCATTGTCCCACGCCCTAATCCCACTGCGATCTTCCTGAAGGGGCAGTGTCCTGCTTCTGATGTTTGTGCTACTTATCACAGCAGACTTCGTTTTTTCTGCAACGGAATCTTGCATGATCATACTACAAACAAATTTTAATTAACATGCCGCCTCAAATGCATATCTAGATACACGTGGGGTTCATTACATCCAAGAAAAGCTGATTTGGAATCATACAAGAAAGCTTCAACAAGGATTCTGCATGCAATGATACCTGTGGTTTAAACCTGGTTAGCTGCTCGTCTGTCGAGGTTACGACACATGTTTGTACAAATTAGCCATCTTCACGAAAATATTACTACTTCTTCGAGTCGTGGAAATGGGTTCCTGCAGTTTGTTTATCGATTTTGAGGACACCACCTCCAACGTAAAAAACCCAAGCTCAGCTATCAACCAAGCTGCAAGCGGTGGCTTTCCGGCTGGGATTGGACCCCTCCATCAGATCTCACGAGATGGCCTAGTCCCTGTACCGCTTTCCAGAGCATCTATACACAAGGACATCTCAACATCCTTCATGTCAACAGCATTAGTATCATTGGGCCAGCCTCAATTCCAATATTAAATAACTGCTTCACGATTACCACGAAGCCACTGCATGGCTAATACGACATTGCCTTAGTCGGCGAATTAGAGATCGGGTGCCTCTGAACCCCTGCCACAATGAATTTCTGTGGTCTGACCGTGCATAAGATATTAGGTTCGTTTTTGAAAATGTCATGGTAACCTATTCTTATCATTACTAAATGTTTGTCGAATCTAAGCCTTACCCATAGGACTGCCTGCGAGTCTTTTAGCACTCGGTCAAGCATAAATTTATCAGCCGCTGACAACAAGATATGCTTCAGAATTCACAGCTTTCAACTATTCAAATCCATATCAGATCCCCCCTCAATGGAAGAAGCTACTACGATAAAAGGAAAGAAAACTGCCGCCAGTGTTAAATGGATAATATGATTTTTTGCACATATTGCGGAAAGAGTTTTACTCGGAAAGAACATCTAGAGAGACATATACCGAGTCGTAAGTAACAATGAATCTCGGGGTGCTCATTATATAAGAATGGTTTACTGAGATAGTTCCCCTCTTATAGATACAAATGTAAAGCCGCATAGGTGTACCTTGTGTCAGCTATCCTTTCCCAGAAGGTATTCACAATTCCGTACTGTCGTTGTGCTCATACTCGAGATCCACTAACTTTTTGATCCCCAGAGATCTTCTACAAAGACACCACTCCACATATCATGAAGCAAAAGACCCGATGGAACCATTACCTGGTGGTGTTCCAACAGTCAATGGTCGAACACCTATCGCATGTATCAATTGCGCTAGTGCGAAGACCGGCTGTGATAAAAGAGTCCCCTGCTCGAGATGCGCTGAGAAAAATCTACCATGCGCAAGCAGATATGCCCGACGTTCGTCAAAAGCTGCAAATCGGGCGTCAAGCTCGCACAAAAAGACACCACAAATTCAAGAGCCACCGCATGACCCGATGGACCAGGACACAGCACCAAAAGAGCCATTAACGGAGGCTAAAATCAGTCCCAAAGAGACTCCTGTAGATCCGCAGTTTACGGGAGTAGCACCGGGAAAGACCGGATATCCTGTACAAGATCTAAAATTCACAGTTGATGGCTTCGGACCTTCCCCAGGGGAAACTCTTGGAGGAATGGAACACTCGATGTTCGGCAACACAGATACGATCAATGGAAATATCAATTACCAAGATCTCATGACATGGAGTCACTATCCCCTAGATCTTGATATGTACTCGATGGGATCTGAATTATCCGGAAGTCTAGTAACAGCTGGTTTCCTAGAATCAAGTGAGACCTCCTCAAATTCAGATCCAATGTTCTCTGGGTCACTGCATCCATCTCCAGCAATGTCGCATACCAAGAGTGCTAGTATTTCTTCTCAGTCTGATGCTAATCGCCAAGCTAAAATGGTCGATATTGCAGTTCCTATCCTCACAGACAACAGTGTCGTGGACTTTGAGCTCCTTGTAGCTGCGGAATCAGCCTGGCCTCTTGCACGATGCAATCCTCGACTAATCCCAGGGCCTTCAACACGAACAGCCATAGCATATCTCGAGAATTTGGAACAACATTCGAAGCACGATGCCACATGGAAGTCATTAGATCACGATGTGGAGCCAGCTGAGCTTCAGTATGGGAATGGGATATCAGTCATGCCTGTGAGTGCGAGTACCAGGGATCGGATAATTGCTATCACCCAAAGCTTCCTTCATACAGCTCTTGAAACGCATCGAGGAGGGTTGAAGTGCTGGCCAAAATCTTCAAATTATACAAGTCCTGACGGAGGATTCAATTTTCTCGTCTTACCCCCGTCAAACGTGTTGGAATATTTTCTGCGAAGTCACGTTCGCAGCTTAGCTCCCTACTATACTCTGATAAATGGTGGAAGCCTTGATCCAAATGAACTAATGCTGAACAATCAAACTTCAACTCTGCTTCTCTTGTTGATGATAGCCCATGGTGCATCGGCTCTTCCAACAGCCGAGGCGAGATGTTTGACCGCGGGGCTGACCGAGGCTTGTCGTATATCCCTTTTCAAGGTGATTGAAAAAAATGTCGACTTATCGGCCGACCCCGTGGTATTTAAGTGTGCGCTGCTTTTCACAATACTCGGCGCTTGGGGCGGGGATGCTTCTCACATGAATCTAGCTATAGCACAACGAGGGATGTATCTTGCGGTAAGTTTTACTACAATCAATAATTTATCCTATGTTAATTTTTGATCTAGATGCTCAAGCATGCAGGAATGCTAGAACCTCAAATACCAGTGACTCCCTCTTTCCACGAAGCTTTGAATCCACATGAACAGTGGACAGTCTGGCTTCAGAGGGAAAAGAAAAGCAGGCAAGACTCCCGTTCCCAATATCTAATTTAACGCAACGCAACAGAGTCCCATGCTACTTTCCATAGGATAAATTACACGAACGCTAACAATGGCTTTAGGCTGGTTTACAATTGGGTTATGGTTGATCAGGAGCTTAGCTTATTTCACGACACCGCGCCGATTATGTCAATCACAGAGCTTGAAACCCCAATGCCTGGGTTAGAGTGTTTATGGCTTGCTAAAGATGCAAACGAATGGTCGAAAATTATCCAACAAACATATATCGGTAATGATTGGTTGTTACATCCAAATCCGGTTGGTACACCACCTGCAGGGCCTTCACTTTGTGGACTGTTTCGTGACATGTTGTCCGATAATATCGAACGGAGACACGGGCAATTGTCCCCATTACAACTGAAGCTCCTTCTGCATCCGCTTCATAGCTCATTATGCCATCTGCACCAAGCCTTAAGTTTTCAGTCGGAAGTTTATAGCTCCCGGCAAGGAACTAGAACTGTTACAAAGGCATCTAACCTACTACGCCTTCAAGAAGCTCAATCATTACTCCAAAAATGGTATGACCTGTGCGAACTCAATGCCAAAAACGACCCAAATTGTCAAATAACTCGCGCCAATCTCGTGCTCTACCATCTTATAAGCTTGAATGCGGTGACACTATTCCCAGACATTGAGCGCCTAGCACGAAAGGAGGATTTTGATGGCACAAGCTTCGAGCTTTCTCAACGTTACAAAAGGTGTATATACAATCCAGCTGAAGCTCTTTTTCATTGTGGACAAGTTATCCGTCTTGTGACGTCTATGCCAAAAGAAGGACGTCCGCGTTGGTGGTCAGTGGCTATATATCGCGTTACAATGATTTTATGGCTTGAATGTGTATCGCGTGTTGAGACACATACACAAAGACTTGATAAAGGTCCGATCTTTCCGATCGATGCAGTGGCACCAGACCATCCTTCTGTCAAATCTTATCTTTGGAATGGGGAAGGTACCCCGGTTCTCAGCAAAACCGATGGGTACGTGGAGCTCAATAGGCCCAACGATGTTATGAATCACTGTATTTCTTTACTCGACTTTGGGGTTACATTACCCATGTCGGACGGAATAAGGAGGAAGTTGATGGCGTTTTCGAGTAATTGGAACATGGAAATTAAACTACAGAATACATAGAGTTAGTTTGGCTACTTGTTTGGGAGTGTAGGTCTCGTACATCTGGAGGGATAGAGTTATTCTCGCATTGGAGTTATGAAGGTCCTGACATACCACGTTACTTCATCATGTTGTATCTTGTTGTCACATAACCCAGCTCTGGGTTTACATAGGCTAGACATTTATGTGGTCCAAGAACTCAATTTCATTACAATTACACTTTCCAGTGCCAGTATTCTTAATCTCACATTGTGTTCTGCATTGCTTCCAGCAAAATCCCTTAAAGTAAGACACAAGACTAACCAAGAAAATACTGGGATCACACGTATATACAATGCACAGGTAGATAGATCTAAATGAAGGTCTCGATCGATAAATGAAATATATGCAGGAATGCATATTCACCATGGTTGTCCATGTATATGTCATGATCCTTATCTCTATTTCAGTAGAGATAATTGCCAAAACAACCGATTGGCGTTAAAAGAACAGAATACCAGAAGTGCTTATCAGTATGAAGCCAACCCTGCCTCGGATCACTAGTCTAGGCTCGATGGTAGATACAATAATATGGTACTGTTTACTTTCATAACTAATATGTACAAATAGCATTGACCCGGACATCCGGTGGGGGATCCAGCCACAAAGCTTGGTACCAAAATGACATGAATGACGCGAACTGGAGAGATTTAACTTTTGAATGGCGACCCAATCTTGGAACCCTCTACTACCCTGATCACGTTCTCTCCCCCGTGATCAGAACCTGCATATTTGAAATTTTGGTAGGCAATAATTAGTTGCAGCACCAACATAATTGGACCAATACAAAGTTTTTTTTAGGATTCTCCCCCCCCCCCCCCCCCCCATATAAGCGAGATTTTAATCCTTCCATTCCAAGACATACAACTCGAAACAAACCACATCTTACAGCCTGCCGACTAGGCTCAGTCGGCCGTCTATGCAAGTGAAATCTTTTACGCCGCACCACATCACATATAGAATGTAAACAAATTGACACCCTGAAAGGTGAGCCATACATATACACTCATCGGCTCGGGGAATGCTGTATATGTTGAGTGGTAGAATCGCCAGTCAGCTGCGGAACCATTTCCGAATAGTAGCATTATTAGCAATGTCCAATTGAAGTTACGATCTTTTAGAAACATAAAGCGTTACGCGAGACGATAATTCTTACGAGAGAGTGTGATCTCATCGTTCTGACAGCTAGTCTACGTGGGTGCACCGATTTCCTCAAGCGAGTTGACGATATCCTGTTCGCACTAGTATGTTGAAAATGACATCCCACGATGCATTATAAATTGATCAATGACTCGACGATTATACACCACAGGATCGAGTATGAAACAAGTTCAAGAAGATCGCCGTCAACATGCATCGCGATATTAATCGAAAAAATGCAAGATTGTACCGAACCAAGCTTTATCTACTTAATGCAATGCAATTCCTCCATCGGATCTATCTTCGCAAAAGTTGATGGCTGCAAAAGCATTACCACAGTGGTCAAATTCAATTTCTCTGGAATCATCAGCCCGTGATCTTGGTATTGGTATCTCCAAGGCAGCCTCTGTGCCGCCTGCATCTTCATCCCCAGGCATTCAAAGCTGACAGATACAAAGAAATTCCTATCGAATAAAAATTCTAGACTAAAGCTGTAACGATAGAGCTGCTACGAGCCAGCATTATGCCTGGTTTTACGAAGTACGGGTCGCTCAACGATGCCAAAAATAGCCATCATAGTGGAAATTCTCGTGTACGCAGACGATTGAGAGGTGTGTGATATGGCTATGGAAGTCAGCACTTTCATGCAATCCTCACCTATGTATTTTTCTATCAATAATTTAAGGAACACTTGATATTCTTGTTCGTCATTATGGGTGCCAGATTATGTAATATGTCAAGCGCATCTATTTTTTCTGAAATAGTTCACCTCATTATGCTCCATACCATGCCATTTACAACAAGTGGAGTCAAAGATCTTCAGGTAATTAGGTACAATTTGCATGGACGAGTCGTTCACGCTTAAAATAAATTACAAAAGAAGCAAGCTTACAGTTTATTACCATGCCATATTTTGCATATTATCCAATCACATTTTTGTTTTCTTCTTGGATGGGCCCGGCAACGCTAATTTAGGCTAATGTATTGAACGGCACTTCTGGACCTTTGATCGCGGCATTTAATAAAACCCGAATCTAATCTCGACCCGATAACTACTTTCACTTTCACTTGTGAGATGTTACCGTGGATAAGCTACCACTCATTATATGCAATGCACTATATAGACCTTTAACCTCAGCTCGCTTACAACATATCATTTCCATCTTCATCCGCTCGCAAGCGACTTTGAGTTTGACTTTGAGTCGGATTTGGATTTTGATATGTTTCCAAGTTGACCTTACTCTCCTTTTTTTATTCTTACATCTGTCATTCATCCACCAATATGTACCCTACACCCAAGATTATTCATTCTTTTCCTCACGCCCTTTCTTGGACTCTTGTCAATATCATCATTTTCCTTTGCCCTACTCAAGTAGTCCTGGAGGAGTGGGTTTCCTGAACTGGATTACCATCACCCCCTCGTATCTCATCTACTCAATTAAGTCCTTTCATTTTCATCCCAACGACCACCGCGCACTAAAACCGGGACAACCGGAATGAGTAAACCTCCAGCTATCAAGCGTTATGGTACGTTTTATTTTTATCCCTCGCCCTACCCGTGTTCCCTGTCTCATCTTGCACCATATTACTTATCACTATATGCAATATACAAGGGCAGCCAGCCAATACGATGACAGGCTCGCTTTCGCATTCTTCAACACCTAAGCGAGAAATAGGTTGTATTCTTACCAAATAATTATGACATGGCACATGGACAAGGATCGTCTAAAAGTAAGCTGCAGGTCCAATGCATTTTTTTATTGGCGGCGAAGTATATACATATCGTTTGCCGCATATGAGAACGCGGAATACATATTGGTTGTGGGTGGTTGGGAGTGAGCTACAATTGCGCGCATCCGAGGCATCCGAGGGATGGAATCGCAATAAGCACGCAAAGAATGGGTTATCTCACAAGACTTATGAAAAGATCAGTGGCCTTATATTGAACAACACTGTTTAAGTGCTAGCGCATGAAAAGAGCCTCGCTATATCCGCTGTGCACGCGTCTGATGCATTCACTAAAAACATCGATGAATCATAGAATGTTTGCTAGTATAACGAATGACGATAGAATATTTGGAACTCATATGTAATTGTATTGTGTATATCTGGCTAGTGTACGTAGATACCAGTAACGAAAGTGATGTTCATAAAAACATAAGGAACATTGTCAAAAACAAAACCAACCCCCCAAACAAGCACCACCATTTTCTAATACAAGACACAAGAAAAAAATCTATCATATCACATCATAAGAGCTTCCCTCATATAATCTCCTAGAATTTTTATCTATTGAAGTGATTAGTGTATTGCCAGGACGATTAATAGTAGAATTTTACTTACATGAGGTGTATGCATCATGGAGAAATGATTTCCTGGCATATGTCTGGTCACGAATTTTTCGTTGCCAAGATATTTATCCCAGATGTTAGGTCCAAAATCCGTTCTATTGTCTAACAAAAATTGGGCATGGCCATACGGGAAGGGATCCGGTCGTGGGTCCGATGGTAGTTTACAAACACCATCTTCGCACCAGATGGCCATGACTTGAGGTACCTTATTTGGATCTATTGCCTCCGGCATGTAAGTTGAAAGAGCTTGCACGGAAGCAGCAAAATGAGGAAGAAGCCATGCGGGAATTTTGTTTGGATCGCCATCGCCGAGAAGACCGATGGAAGCAAACCACTCATGAAGTGATGATGGAAGAGGTTCAATAATATCAGGACATGGGGAGTCGAGTAGGATAAGTTTGTCGACGACTTCGTTGTTCTTGGTAAGCTGGTTGACTATTTCATAAGCAATAACACCACCAGCGCTCCATCCAGCTAATAGATAAGGACCTTTTGGTTGGCGACGCTTCATCTCATTGATATAGTGTGAAGCCATACCAGGTACACCGCAAGTAAATTCTTCGGGTGTCTTCATATAAGGTGAGTTTAAACCAAAAACAGCAACATCAGACGATAGGGCTGGGATCTCGATATACGAGGTTGCGGAGCCCCCTCCATCAGGCACCATCCAGAGATACTTGCTGGCTTTTCTCAAATTCCCTTGAAGTAGAATTGAATTTGCTATCCTTTGAGGCGTAGCCTGCACAGTAGGAATAGCAGAAGGGATCGCCGGTTTGGTAGGCTTTGGCTTGTCAGATGGGGCCTTGGGTTTCGGCTTTGGCTTTGGCTTTGAGGGCGCTTCGACATTGAGCGCCTTTTCGATATCGCGGATGGTCAGGTTGACCTGGAAAAGATCAGATGGAAGTGAAAGTCCCGTCTTCTCTCTCAATCGGCCAAGCACCGTAAGTGCCATTAGTGAATCCATACCAAGCGAAGCAAGATCAGGGCAGCTCGCGACCTCTAGAATATCGATTGCCATCTCTTCCGCAATTGTAATTCTTATAATATCACCAAGATTATCTACAGTACCAGTCGCCGAAACATCGTCATCCGAAGGATCTGTGAACTCCGAGTCTTCTTGTGGGTCGTGTACTGATTCTCCGGGACTAGGTGTAGTGAGAGGTGAGCTTGGATCTTCACTATAGGCAGCCGATGGCTTCCCTTCGAATTGCGATAAGAATGACTTGAAAGCTCCGATATTGGCATAGTTGATAAATTCGTTAGAATTAATATCGATATCCAATTCTTCTCGTAGTCTTCCGCACACCGTCAAGGCCATAAGCGAGTCGACTCCGAGATCGGTGAAAGCAATGTTGTCAACAAGTTCATCAATCTTGACCCCAACCTCTACTGCGAGGATATCCATAACCTGGGAGGTAACCGACATGAGCTTCTGGTTTACCTTGGTGATATTGGCTTTGGTGACTTGCGTCTTCTTGGCAGTCTTTGAGTTCGAAGCCTTAGAAGATCGTGGTTCTTGGGGCGCGGGAGCTGGCTTTGCAGCGGTTACAGCAGCCGTTGCACCTACTGGGGGTAAGAACATATTAAGAACCTTTCTAGGAATGGCTTGAAAAGCCAATCCGCCGACCATGCCGATAATTGTATCCCCATCAAAAACGTAGACATCACCAGCCATAGTCTTATCCTTGCGCTGTTGCATCCTGACGTAGGACCTGTAGGTCTTTTCCGCGCTCAAAGGCTCGGCAAATTTCATAGAATCCCAGCCATGTGATATATAGACTTTTTCACGTGAATCAACAGCATCCGAGCCATTGACGATGAATCCAGAAATATGTGCCACACTGTCGATCCAAAACGGGCTGCATTTGAAAGTCCCGTCTTTTTCTGTACTTTGGAACACGACACGTGAAGTAGCTTCCATCTTCATGCTGTCAAGAATAACCTCTTCCATACCACGATATTTCTGATCGTAGTCCACCAACGCAGCAAACAGCTTGTAGGCAAGCCCACGACTAATTTTAGAAGCTTTGCCATTCCTTTCAGCCTCCTGTAGCCAATCTACTCGTGACTGAATGAGATAAGCAGTGCGTTGGAATTCAGCATGATACTCCTCGGTGTCGCCGAAGAAGACTTGACAGTTTGCGTGCTCGACTCGAGCTTTGTCAGTTCCCGTTGAAAATAGAAGATCAGCACGGCCAATTGCCGCATTGATAGTGGCAGTAAGTGTAAGTACTTGAGATTTTCCTTGAGGATCAGCTATCAATGGCTTAGGCACCTTCATTCTTCCAACGTCCAAGCCCAAATTTTTGACATCAGGTCGTACAAGCTTGTAGCCATACTCGCATAAAGTCATGGCCATATCTGCGTATAAAGACTAGGGGATTGTTAGCTTTAGCAACTCAATCCACACTAAAGTACTTACTGATGGACACAACATAGCTCCATTGACAAGATGCCCAGTGACGACCCCGCGAAGATCCGCTCGTGCCAAATCAGACTCGGCGGTAACAGTTGCAACGTCTCCTTCAACATTTTCGCTGACGACATTGTGAATTGTGGAAGTTGAGAGCTTAGGTTTGGGAGGCTCCAATTGAAGTTTATTTTTTCCAGTTAAATCTCCTTTCGTCAAACACCAGTCTCCCTCATACTGAATCCAATAATTCTTGTCGTCGAACGCGTAGGTGGGTAAGTCAAGAAGACGGACCGAATTATTAAAGTCTCGATGATACTCATTCCAGTCAATTTCAAGACCAGCGGTGTGTAAGACGCTAAGACTGTTGCTGAGAGTTTTGTATGCACTTTCATTTCTGCGTAGCGATGGAGCAGCAACAGTAGAACTACCCACTGTTGCTTTCACAAGTCCCAAGCATACTGGATGTGGCCCTACCTCAAGCCAGACAGTTTTTTCGTCTATAATGCCAGAATTTTGGGCAGAAACGAGACCGTCTAAGAAATTAACGGGCTGTCTAGCATGATTGCGGAGATATGCAGCATCAATATCCTCAGTTTCGGTAAGGCATCTACCTAGTAGGGAGGAGATGAGGGGGACATTGCCTCTTGCGAAGGGTACAGATTTGGCCAATACCTCAAATTGATCTAATATAGGCTCTACTTGAGCAGAGTGAAAAGCGAAAGGAACTTTCAACTGCGTGCATTTAAAACCAGAGTTACATAGTCGATCGGAAACTTTCGAGATCTCGGCAGCCTCGCCACTAAGGACAGTCTCTCGAGTGCTGTTGATGCAAGCGATATTTACCGGTGTTCCGATATCCTCAAGTGCTTCGGTTACTGCTGATCTTGATCCTTGAACTGCAAGCATTGCATGAGTTCCAGCGGTACATTTTTCGATCAAGAGTTGAGCTCGCCTTCCGACCAAGTAGATGGTGTCACTGGCAGATAATATTCCAGCAGCATGGAGAGCGGCATACTCGCCTAGACTATGGCCAATTACAACGGAGGGTTTGACGCCCCAAGATTCCCAGAGGCGAGCCATTGCCATTTCCAAGCACACAATGGCAAGTTGCACCATAACAGGTGATAAGCCATGAGCGTCAGTTACACTTCCATCGATCAAGGAGATAAATGATGGAAATCCAAGAATGGTGGCAATATTATCGAATTCCATAACACTTTCCTTGAAAAGTGATGAGTTTTCGAACAACTCACGACCCATTGCTGCATACTGAGACCCTTGTCCTGTGAATAAAAATGCAACTCTTGGCGGTTCTGGAAGGACAGGAATGAATTGTTCGTGCAGTTTAGAGTTCAGCGCTGTTGAGACCTCTGATGTTTCGGTCGCGGTCACTGTCATTCTCCATTTATGCTGTATCCTACGTGCCGTGGTGGTGTATGCTAAATCTGCAATATCTATGTCCCTATTTCGTTCGAGATAAGATATCAGACGTTCTGCGTTGTTGAGCATAGCTGACTTCGATTTGGCTGTGATAGCGATGACATGTGTGGAGCGCGGGTCAGCAACTTTCGGAGGTAGATCAGGTGCATCCTCAAGTAGCAATCCAGTGTTTCCACCAGCGGCGCTGAAATTGTTGACAAAGATGCGTCGTGGAGCTCCGGACTTCTTTTTCGGGAGTGGCGTATTCTTAAAGGCAATATGTACATTGCGGTCCGCAAGATCCTTGGGAAATCCTTGATTGATCGTTTTCTTGATACCAACATGAGGAGGTATGGCGTTCTTCTGCAACATCATCAAGCATTTGATCAGAGCGGTGACACCAGATGCAGCCTCGCCGTGTCCAACGTTTGCTTTGACAGCGCCAAGGTACAGCGGTTGGTCTGGTCTCCTCTTTCGATCTGGTGAGGCAAAAACATTGGTGACAGACTTCATTTCCGTTCCATCTCCAGCCTGAGTCCCGGTTCCATGCATTTCGACATAGTCGATGTCATTGGGATCAACGCCCGCATTGGCTAGAATACGCTTGTATAGAATTTCTTGTGTTCCTCCGTGCGGGTGAGTAATTGAAACAGCATCTGCTGAGTGGTTGGTAGCACTTCCAAGAATAACAGCCAAAACATTATCCTTACTAAAATAGGGAAAATAAAATTAGTTATGAATCATATGAAGCAGAATTTGTCGATTAAACTTACTCAGCTAAAGCGTAATCCAACCTTTTGATAATGACAGTACCTATTCCATCTGCTCTGCAATATCCGTCCGCATCGTGGTCAAAAGTGGCACATGGACCATTTTTTGACAAGAACTGCCCTCGACTGAGTCCTGAAAAAATATCTGGGTTTGTCATGCATGAGAGACCACCAACAACGGCTGTGTCACAATCACCAGCCCACAAAGATGTACAGGCTAGTTGAAGCGCGGCGGCGCTAGAGGAGCAAGCTGTGTCGATATTGAAAGATGGTCCTGAAAACCCAAAGTGATAATTGATTCGACCGGGCCCGAAGGCTCTTACGCCTCCTGTAATGTAGTAAGTGTCCACATCCTGCGCCGCATTTATTTCACGCCAGTCATCACTTGTTTGTCCGTAAAATGTACCAATTCGATCAAGCTTTGTAGAGTGCGTCCTGTTGGGGACATAGCCAGCCATTTCCAGGGCTTCGTATGCCGTCGCGAGTCCGAGACGTTGCATGGGACATGTTTGGTATGCCTCTCGAGGAGACATGTTGAAAAACCTGGGATCGAAAAGACCAGGGTTCTCAATCCAGCATCCATAAGGAGTATGACTGGTATTTCTGATTTTGCTTGTAGGATCAAAATGTGTCGCAACATCAAATCTATCCTTCGGTACCATTCTATGGACATCCAAGCCATTTTCGAGCAGCTCCCATAGTTTCTCATGACTTGCAGCATCTGGAAATCTTCCAGCCATTCCGACAATGGCAAGCTTGTATTTTCCAGGAGATACTTCTATCGAATTTTGTTGCTTCGCCGCCTGTTGATTTCCGAATTGTAGTGACCTCAGAGTTATATCAAGCTCTGTTTGGGACTCTAGAGCTGTTGCCAAGACCTTGGCCGTACTGGTAGGGCCTGCTTAAATTTAGCAAACTAATGGATTTTCCCGAAGGCTGCTACTTACCAAACGGAATAATAAGGCATTCTCGGCCTTGAAATTCCCGGCCTTTCTGCACGCAACCATGAAGAATCTTGCTAAACATTATTGGCTCTGTCAACATCTCAAGCAAAACTGCTTGGAGCAATAATTCAGGCTCTTGCTCGGTATACCAAGTTCCAGTCGTGCAGGACATGACTGGAAATCTAGTTTTCAGGTTTCCAAGCACTTCCCGGACCTTTTCATCCTTCAAATGCAATATTTGCTCCACATTCAAACTCGAACGGAGATGAGCAGCATGATAGGGGCCATGAACTGGAATAGATACAGGATTTGCCTGGAAAGTCTCAGATGCAAAAAGTGCTCTCAATGTTGAAGGAGGTCCACTTATCGCAATACTTTTCGAAGTTATTGCACTAATGTATGCCTGATTTACTAAAGGTGTTGCCTGTAAAGAGTCAGTACAAACTATCGAACCTTAGACATGAAAACGCACGTTTTCTTTGTGGAAGTCGTTAAGTATTGAGTTGACTTCGCTTTCCTGAGCAGCTGGAACGACATAAGTCCAACTTTCTGGTGATTCCGATTGGTTGTTAAGCCTGTCGGCAAGAGCTGCAACGTGTGCACCCGTTCGAAACGCCATCAACACCACTTGAATGGCAATGGGTATCAGTTGAGATATCGATGGAGAAGAGGCGATTGCGGCTGCAGCAAAAAGCCCAGTGCACAGGCCAACGAGGCAAGTTTCACTGGGACTGGTCGAATCTCCATGCTCTTTTTCGTAACGACTAATTGCCTGCGTTAGTAGAGGAACTCATTAGATAAGGTATTTATACTGACTCAATGTATTGGGATAATTGAGTAATGCACAAAAGAGCGCTGTCTACAGCAGGGTTTCTAATGTTTCTGGCGTGATATAACTTATTCAATTCGAGTATAGTGGTAAACTCGGGTATTCTGTTTCGTTGGAGGCTTGGTAGTCTATCGATTTCTTCCCTAAGAGCAGAGCCAGCCTGCTCAAGGAATGATCTCGAAAGCACACTTGGTCTTCTATGTTGACAAAAGTCGGTCAAGAAAGTATGCGTATCCAATGACTGGTCACCAAAGACCAGGAAAGACATTTTCTTCCCCATATTCAGTATGATACAAAAAAATTAAGATGGTAGGAAAACCCTAGAAGATAGTGCTGGTATTTCATCAAATCTATTGCACAACTTGTGGCGGGGCCTGTATATATTAATTGTTCAAAGGCTCAGCTCAGCTCAACTGCTCTGATTTGAAATCACTTTACGGAGTAACCTCTAGCTTCAACCATGTCATGACGGCAAGACTGGGTGGATCATCATCAGCTCATAGACTATTGATCTCTTTGTCCGGTCATCAATCTCAGAATAATAGAACATACAAGGGTCAAAAAGCTTGTTTGAAATGATGGAGAGTGCGGGCCGACTGAAGAAGTAGGATGTACTGGAGATCTAACACTGACAATGCCATATCTCGCATCACTCTCGTTTCGGTATCAACGTCTATTACCCCGGAAAGATAGTCCCTGATTCAACGCTTATACGGATACGAAATGAGACGGTCTGTCCTATTCTGTCGCATCAATTATGATTAGCTATCCTAAAAGATCGGACTGGACCAAAGGAATCTCATTCACCCGAGATTAGTACCAAAAATACGAGTCTAACTGACGTTCAAGCCAGGTGGTACCTCGCATAAGCAACGTCCGTATTTCAGGTACATAACACCGCAGCATTGATTGTAACAAGTTCCGGTGCGACATTGTCCGGCGGACATCCCCACGCGGTCATGACTCCACTCTAATTTGAGCAGCTCGGCCTACTAGCCGAGCGTATTCTAACGTGAGAACAAGTTTTCTTGGAGTCAAATGTCTTAAAGTCGGCCAGCTAGTCTACCGTAAGATATACATATTCATCGGGGAAGCATCTTGAACGTGGGGAGATACCTCCATGGGTGCGATTGTACGGTTGTGGTTGTAGTTGCAGAATAGGATTTGGCGTTGAGGTTGAGATTGTCCGACCGGAAAATAAGCACGCTAGCGAAACGAGATTTACGGTGTCTTTGTGGCACGTGACCCTGACAGACCACTTTCTTCTTCCGCCAAACATGTCCAATGTAACTCCTTCCTTCATTCTCTTCTCCTTATTTTTACTTCGCTTCATTTACGCCCTATATTTACAAAATACCCGAAATCAGATTGTTGCAAAAACAACACCATGATTCAGCAACGTACAGCAACATTTTCGTTGCGATAATGACTGATTGCTTGGGGCCAGCTCAATTGTTCCGACCGTCAAGCTTACGCATTAAATGTCTTCGCTCCTGTTCATCTGTTACTTATAAGTGAAAGATGAGTATCTTTCTATTCCAGGCTACATGCATATCCGAGCTGGAAACTTGCATATTATTGGCCTTAGCCGTACTACGGATAGTCGTCAGAAAATACCTTTCACGTGATCGTATTGGTATTATTTTGAAGGTTACATTCGAGTAGTGCACTCGACCTTGGCTCCTTTCATATTATATGCATTTGGCTCTTTTGCGAATCAGGAGTATTGTCCTTGTTTTTGTTGAGCACTATCTTGAAGCAAAACTCATCTGAACTGGTATGATTACAAGCCGAACTACTAACTGTGCTGGCATCGACAGATCCAGAGCTCTTTAAAATGAAGGATCTAGATTCATGTTAATTTCGGGTATCTAAAACTCAAGGCTACTTGTGGAATTTCGTATAGACGCACAACTTCCTATTCCAGAACGACTCTCTGATATCCCTTGCAAAAAAGGACCTCGATGGAGAAAGTCTTACCAGTGCTTCAGTCCTTGACAATATACCGTGCCTAGGGTTATCGCGATGAATGCAGATGCAGTGCATGTATTCCTGCTTTTTGTACATCAAGTACGGCCACAACTTTCCCGAGGTTCGGAATTTTATCATTTTTGGATCTTGTGGAGTATTAATCAACATGCTACGAGAATGACTTCGAGTACTCAATCAGGGCTATGAAAAAGATTAGATTTTACATTGGAAGAGCTGCTCGAAAGTCTCTAATTGATAGCAAGTTGAGATCTTAGTCTTGTCATCGTTAGTATCGAAGGACAAACGAAAGTAGATCCAGATGTTGTTGCTCGGGATGTCTGCACTGTTCAACAGTCCACAATAGATAACACTGAAGAATATATCGATGACCCAAGGAGTTGTTTCTGTGTTTCACAGAAACCTGATTGTGGTATTTAGCCGTAGATTAGATAAATGGTACGAGACAAACGTCTGTTTTCGCGAGAGGAAATAGGGAAGTCGTAGGCTAAAGGTCCAGAGATTAACCATGGAGACTAGAGTTTCTGTTTGGACAGGTTGCATAGTTATGAAATGAGCAACATTGAATTCTTACTGCTGGGATATTAGGTAATTGAGACTTTATTGTCATCATGACCTCTTAGCATGATGTTGCGAAGCGTGAGTTGGTAAATTCCCAATCACCCTTCCATTCTATATGGACAAGTTAATTTTATATGTCAATGCCGATGAAAGTCCCTGCAAGTCGTTCACTCGAATATATAATTTAAGGTGTATTACCATGACATGCAACGTTGTACACGATAATCACCTTATCAAAAGAGATCTACCATAAGGAGGCCATTAGATGGTCTAGAAAAAATAAAGTTAGCTTCGCGGCAAGGCTACCATTGAACTGTTAGTTTCCATTTGTGTACTCAATTCCATATAGCATTGCCGATGCAATTGGCAAAACTTGTCGGATCATGCTAGATATTTATAGCATCAACAAATCATATATATATATATGAAAAGATTCAATTCCATTCATTCACCAAATCCAGCGCCCCAATCACAAAAGACCCGAACATCAACCAATGCATCATTTTCTCAATCACCAAGTCCACTAACTAATACAATAGAAATAGCTTATCCTTCCTCCAAACAATCTACCACCAACTCATTTCTTCCCAATTAATTTACCGTTACTAGGCTTCTCTTCCTATGTAACTAAAATGGTTACATTAATCTCGCCTAATCTTTCTCAAAATCTTCACACAAGATCTCATCCGCCACTGGAATACATTGACTAACCTCCGTACCTCTGGAGATTCTTCATTTCATGTTATATATTCGTATTCGTAGCGGAGACCGATTCACAGCCGAGTGACCTTTTCAGGGTACAATCGTATCTTTCGTGAGGGAGGTCATAGCCTAATATCATTTCTACTCATAATTTTCGCCCCACTAGGTATCCGTCACTTCTGTCTCCCAATTGAAAACTGATATGCAAATATTGGCATGTAGAAGAGAAGAAGAGAGTACTGAAATGAAGAACTACGACTGCGCTTCCATAAGCAACGCTGTAACACCTCCATTTTTGAGTGTCCTCGCAAGCTCTTGCTACTTTCATTTAACCGCATTCGCGCTTATTATAAATTTCATAATAGAAACCACCGTTTCATGATTTATTACAACCATTTGACTTCGCTTTCCCTCCACTTTACACTCCGAATTTTGCGTTGAGATTGGAATCTATTTGTATCGTTAGCAACATACATAAATTATGAGACGCAGGAAATCTTTCTGTAAAATAATAACTGCGAATATCTAGTTACACAGCATCATGACAACAGACTCTATGCACGCAATTCCAAACTATTTAATTATGTGACTATGCTGCATATGCAAAACGACAGAATAAGAGAGTGAATTATATGCAGCCATTGCTAGTTGGGAATTGCCTAGAACCCAACAAAAATTTACATCTATTTTCAGCGAAACAAACTCAACATTTCTTCCTCAATCAAAGCACATCTAACACACGGTAAAGATAACGCAGGAGGATATAATACTATTGAAAGCATCTCATCACATAACTTTTCCATCGCTTTACCTTTGAACAAATTTGGATCTCGACCACAGTTTATGTGTTGTGAGGATACACATGCAGCATTGAAACCTTTTAAATCTTTCGAATTCTGGGTCTAATCTTACACTGAGCATTGAAAACACAATGTAACCGTAAGAAAGCAGCAAAGTTTTGGATAAGTTTTATTTGTGATAAGGATGAAACATCAAATTTGCGAAGGTATTCTTCGTGAATTGCCGGAACTATTTAGCTAACCACGGGCAGTAACAACATTCAAGTGATTTTTTAATCCTAGAGTTTTAGTAGATTGCGTATTATGGTGCATGCTGCAAGAACATGTACGAAATCAGTCAAAAGTTGTGTGCCATCACAGTTCATACTAGGTTTCAATCCTGTTCGCTGAAGTAGGACCATTGAGACAAATCAGGACTTTGCTATATCCATCCTTCTTTCAATGAAACTGAGTATAGGCCACTGGTGCCTCATCAATACCATTCTCATGGGAAACGACGAATTAAGGTTTTGTGACGCTCGACATAATCCTATCTCGAAGGTGAAAATTGCACGCCTTCCCAATACATCTTCTAGAGTCAAGTGGAGACCCAGGAAGTGCTATCAAAACTGATCTGTAGCAGTATTATCGCCAAAAATCACTAAACTGACCTTCTCGAACCTCTCCAAACTTATCAATAACAGGCCTTGCGCGGCGTTACTACCTGAAGCACCGAAATCGCTTGGAGCGTATGACCTAGGAACGACAATTCCACTGCTTAGTTTTGTCACTTTGATACAGAACAATAGTTGGAGCTTCTTGGTTTTTCATCCTTTCCGCAAGCTCTGGGTCCAACGGCATCGACGCTCCTATCTGCCATCTGACCATTGTGCTTTAGTTCTCGACCGCGTCACATTCCGTGAAATCGACAGCGACACAACCGATTCTCTCCGCGGCTTGCAGACGTTCCTTCACGCTATCCAGCACAAAAAGATTCCTTGCTCCTCTGAGTTCTCCACTATATACAGCCATCAATCCGACACGCCCAGCTCCCAAAACAGCAACTGATTCTTCTGGTTGGAAGTCGGAGAGCACAGCAACCATGCCGCCATGTTGGAAATATGTCTTCGAGAAAAGTAAACTTCGCTTCGTGCTCCTCACCGACGGGAAGAATAGTGCAGTTAAATCCAGCATATAATTTACGAATGCATTGTACCTGGCATCCTTGATAGAGACCGTTCCAACGTATCCATATGAACCGGCTGCGGCCCCGCTTAACGGTATTATTTGCAGATTGAGGCTGTAGTCACCTTTACCGATACGTCATCCGAATGTTCGATCGTCGCTAGTGGACGTTCCTCGACCGCTACTTTGTAAGGGTTCTGCATAACATAAATGTCAGTTATTATATCTAGCCATAATACTCGTGATTGAAGTAACAATTACACCTTGATATATCTCTCTCCATAAACTGTGTCTTTGATTCGAACATTCGACTCGACTCTTAGACTACCCCGAATACATCATGCCACTGGATCCTTCTCCGCATTCGAACTACCTAATATTGAATGTCCTAAGATCATGAACGTCGATTCGTTCATGAAGCATGAAAACACAAGCCGACCCCGCACTCTGGTGTTACATGCCCTTAGGTGGCATAGCAATTGGTCACATCCAAGCATGATATGAACCATATTCCATTCAGTTACCATATCCCATCGTCAAATCCATAAAAGGGCCATGCCGAGCACAGCGTAAATAGATGCGGTGACTGGATACAAGTGATCAATGACGATGTGAAGTGTTGTAGTTACATATTGCCGCGTCCCACCGCCCTGATGAAGGGGTAGATTAGCGGCTGGGGAAAGCTTTGGGCCTTGATACTTCATATTCATCTTCACGTGGACTGAGAAACATACTTGATATGGGTTTCGGTCGATTCCACTCTCTATTCATGCAACATACTGATAGTTCCATTCGAACCACCAGCCAGGACTTCACCAACCCGCATGCCAAACGTTGCAGCAATGGATAACGGGCAACGGGTAAGGTTATTGATCTACAAACGGATCCAAAGGCAATTGCAATTTTCCAACCATCATAGCCAAGAAATCGAAATCAAGTCGTCCGATAAGTTAGGAATTTAGTTCTAGAAAATCTCTGAGTTCCCAGAGAATGACCTCGAAATACGACTTTACTTGGAAATTCTGTAGTGGGAACATAGACTCCTTCAACATTTTCTCCATATCTTCACATGTATAAAAATTGAAGTACCTCACCATCCCCCAAGCCCCATACAAACAACGGCACCAATTCACTGCGCAGCAATATTTACTCCTACACCAGGAGAAGGAACTTGTGTACGGTGGATGTGATACGATTTCTTGTATTCGAATTAATCCAAGCTACTTTGAGATAACATACCTTCCTCAGACCTCCGAAACAACGTCAAGAAAAACGAGAAGGGAGTTCGTGGGCGCACCAATAAATATCAAGAAGATCGAGCTATTTGCTGGATTCAAGAGTCGCTAGACTTGGGATCGCAAATCATGTATCAGATGACCTCAATTAAGAATATATCGCTTTTACCATACCAATTTCTGTCTCTATTTTTATTCTATCCGTCTATGTCTCTAAAGCTTTTATCTTCCAGTCAAATAAAAGCAGTCTTAGGAGCGAATCTTCCCCCAATAATAGGAGAATTTTCAGTCAGCACTTCCCAATCATGGGCATCCAATGCTGCTTGTCTACTTTTTAAGACAGCCTCGTGAGTTCTTGGTCTCATCTCTGCTTCATATGCAGCGATTGCTTCCTTTTGAGTTATTTCTCCTGATTTGACCTTTTTCAATTGGTCAATTAGAAGGGCTGCGTCTAGAATGCCGTGGTTTGCACCTTCACCTCGATACCTATTCATTTGTTAACATCACCCATTCTCCGTACATATTGGTTACTTAAGTAATCCGATACCATGATCAGAAGGGAGATGGAAATAAAGAAATAAACCCACATAGTCATAGCATGCGCGGCATCCCCCACCAAAGTAACCTTTCCACCCCAATTATCCCATTCCATACAAGGCCAATCACTCAATCTCAACGGTGTCGTGGTAATATCTTCCGGAATATCTTGCACAATACTCCTCAACGGTTCCGCATATCCTTCCGCCCTCTTCTTGACATAAGCCACCCTCTCCCTATCCGTCTTGGGCATCGCATCCGCAATCTCATCTTTAATCAACCAGGAAATAACCACCAATCCCATGTATGACTTACTACCATCGGGATTTGGTATTATCCCTTGCAAACTATACCACATAAAAGTCCCAGTCTCCGGATCCAATCCCTGGAATAATAATGGATCAATGGCTCTAACAGATGTAATCTGTTCCTCAGTAAAAGGTCTCACGAGACCCAGACAATAAACAGGGAGTTTCGTCAGCTCGTAGTCCGGTCCTCCATTAAACAAACACTTTCTGGTAACACTATTATTTCCATCAGCACCCACAATCAATGTGGCACTACTTTCCGTCCCGTCTGAAAATTGCGCAGTCACGAGATCAGAATCAGTAGCCGGTACAAGTTTTACAAGTCCTTTTCTTTCATGGATATCGAGATCGGTGGCAAGTAAATTGCGAATCTTTTGACGATCTAGACGTCGACGTAATTTACTAGGTGGGATCTTGTAGCGCGGTTCCGCTGTTCGAGCGTTGAGGAATAGAAAATTTCCATCGTCATCGTTGAGAGCTGGATCTACTGCTGCCTGTGGCAATTAGAGTATTAGTCGTTGTGTTCTTGACTTTCCAGGTCGTTATATCTGAATTCCTTCAAATATCCCATGTCTGACTTCTATCCGTTCATAGAAGCCATGAACTATTCTATCCTGTGTTGGAAATTCTTACCATAGGTATCAGCTCCGATAATTTCTCCCCAATTGTTCTTTCCAAACTTCTCAAACACCACTAGAATCATCTCGTCAGCAGCTACTCTTTGCATCAACTATTTCACTCCCACATTACTCCAGCCTTTTCCTCTCGGCATCATCCTCATCTCCGACACTTATCCTCTCCGCCCTCTTCCAACCTCTACTCTCCCTTCCTCCCTTCCGTCCCCCCAGCATCCAAAACAACCAAAATCCCAACTCACATGCAAAGTAATTGCCCACCCCTGCGCCCTCTTCCCCTTCTCATCCCTCTCCACAATCTCAAACTCAATTCCATTCTCCCTACACCCCTGCGCCAACGTCAATCCCACTATCCCCGCACCCACAATCAAAACCTTCAATTTCTTTTCCTCTCCCATGGTTCTAGCGTCTTTCGATGTCATGATTTCGCTATCCTCAATATTAACCATTGATTAATCATAGCTTCGGGACCTAGAGAAAGATACTTACGAAGACATTTCCACACTCTCTTGTAGTCTTGCTGCTCGGAACTCAAAAACTTAAAAATAAAGACAACGCCGCAGTAACTTATCATTCAAAAATAAAAATAAGTAAAGAAGACAAAAAACAAACAAACAAAATGAAGTAAAGTTAAGTAAAGTACTGAGTAAAGTGGGAACAAACAATCCCACGAGAAAAAAAATGTTACCAGAATCCAAACAAAACATATGATGTTCAGATAAGCCCCTCAGTTCGCATCGGAAATCTGCCCCGGAATAGTTAATCAAGCGCATCAGACCAATGAGACGTGCAGGTGTCGAAGCTCCCTTGTCTGAAGTGCAGCTTACCCTGTCAACGTCGTTATGTACGGAGTACGGACTATTGTAGATAGGACATATTTTTTCATAAATTATATATCATAAAATAGTGAGTGATATTTGTTAGAAGATCTACGGAGGTAGTACCTAGGATTTCATACAGGTTCTTTGGAAGAGGGAGCTAATTCCACTTGGTGTTTTTTAATTAAGATCATCTAAATCCAGAATAATCTAAATCCCTTCAATCTCTATACTAAAGCTCTGTTAGTCTCCACGAGAGATAGTTAACGTTCCATTAATTATATTTTTTTATTCTTATTCTTTGCCATACAAAGAAGTTAATAAAATATCACTCCAACCTGCAAAAACTACCTTTGAACACATTAAAATACACTACACATTTATTATCTATCTACCCTACCTACACACATATACACACATAATTCTCCATACTTCTCCAGACACTACAACTTCCTTGGCCGACAACACCACCAACATCACCAAACCTCCCCCCCTCCCCCAAAACATAAATAAATATAAATACAAGTATAAGAATAAGTACAAAACCTATCACAAAAAACTAAATACCTAGTGAATACATCCCAAATTCCAAACCATCCCACAATGCCCTACTATCCCACACCCCCCTCCAAAACACAAACCCAAACACAAACCCAAACACAAGCATAAAGTCATGCCCCCCATTTCTCCCAACAATTGACACTATTCTTACTTATCCATACTATACTACACTTATACCATACCCAATCCCCATCAAAAAGGGAAACCCCTCCCCCACCCCCACCTCCTTCTCCCCTTCTAGACTCTCAATCCACCAAACATACACCCATCAACATCGCACGTAGACTATTTTCCCATTTTAGCTATAGACCAAGACCAACATAGCGGCCGCGCTGGTGAAATGGTAAACGCTAAATTCAGTGCGCATTCTACATAACACGTCAATCTGGAGAGAGGAAATAAAAAGAAATTCCAAACACCCTCCTTGAAGTCATCTCAAAACAGAAACTTTGGAAGTGATATAATGTAATAAGAAAGATTCTACGAGATACATGTCCATCAAAGCAAAAAATTCCATACAACCTTAACAAAACAAATCAAGAAGTTCAAGCTTGGTCTCAGCCTCCTTCACCTAAAAAAACCAAACTAAAACCACCAACCACGCAAGCAACCAGCAGCCACCAAAACCATGGCTCTATTAACAAGATCATCCCACCGGGCATATTCCTTCGACAACAACCCCTTCTTCAACGCCACACTCCACAAATCCACACCCTATATTCCCTACATCTCCCCACGACCCAGCAAAACATACATATCTAGACATCAAAGCCTCCCCATGCTCCACTGCAACCCTAGTAAGAGACCCGTATTAACCAATCGACCAACTTAGAAAAGATTCCCCTTTCTTTCCCATTTTACTTGTACCCATCTTCATTGCGGGTTACTTTTACTGGATGCGCACTCGCATTTCCAGTTGTTTGGGATTATCAGACGAATCGCATACAGCACGGTATAGTGCTTCCAGGCATTTGCGTGTCAAAAACCACATTGATGTTTTGATTTTGTCGCATGAATCTGGAGAGATAAATGTATTTATGTCTTGAACGGATGGTTTTTCCCGGCGTTAAGAAAGACTCCACGGGAGCGGGGGATAAAATAAATTATTTTGGGGGGAAGTTGGAGTTTGGGTGTTGGGAGCCGTCATGAAGGGATTATCAGCGTTGGAGAAATACATTTGCGACCTACGCAAGCGTTTTTGGGGTAGGTGAAAAAGATGTGCAATTACACCATCTTGGATTACCAAAAAGGATTTGCGCCTTGAACCCTTGGAAAACCGTGCTAATGAATTGCTTCCGACTTACCTCTGCTACTTAGTGGCCTACCTGCCGTTGGACCGTAAATCCTGATGCAAGAAATAATGTAACAAAACATGCAATTAGGGTTTCTCCAAAGAAGCCCAAAGACATACGTGAAGAAGAAGAAAAATATGAGTCAATGCCCTCACCTCCGGAAAAAAGACACTCCATTCAAACTTAATCTCGTTCCCAGCCACACTTACGGTCCGCCCTCCTCTTTCATTACTCCCCCGTCCACCGCCAAAAACTTACCTCTTCTCCCTTCTCCGTCATCTAATCCGCCCATTCCCAATCCTCACCAAGCCTTAGATTTCCCATAATGCTTTCTCCGAACCGCAATCCGATGTAAAAACAGTACCTTCCCCACGCCTCGATTCATTTTCGTACCACAACCTCCCAAGTCGCACATCGCACATGGCACCAAATGTAATATCCGCACATCCATTCCAACATCCCCAAATTACTCACCGATACAACCTCGACTACATCATGCACTCTTACTAACCCTAATCTCGCATGCAACCTTTGCATATATCGAATGCAATGTAATTGTAAAGGTAACAAGCGGCAGAACCAATTTGATGGGCATTGCATATTGTAGCATTGATAAACGTTCCATATTCTCTGCAGAATTCGCATCGCATACCCGTATTCATTATTGAGACGAGACATCTCGTACAACTGCCGCAGTGTCCTCCGGATAGAGCATATCCGTATCAGTGTATATACCGGATAATTTTGTTGCCATCGGGCAAAGCGTTGTAAATTGGTGTCCTATTCTTGCAGTCCAAAAGTAGCTTCTCGTAATAGTAAGCTTACACTTATTTTTGCACACTGCTCCGAAGATTTTGACTATTGACTGCGTGCATTCTGCCGTGTATAAACCACAAGTACCACGGCCAGGATATTGTTTCCCTACCCCATTTCCACGGCAGTCGGACATTGAAGCACACCAAGCTGGTAGCACAGAAAAGGGATTCGGAGTCCAGTTCTTGTCCGTTGGTTGCACATCATTTCTTCTTCAAATGTTTTCAGCTATTGATGTGTATCTCGATGTATATGTAGAACAGTATCCGGTAAATATGATTCCCGAGATAATGAAGATATGAAAGGGTCATATAATATGCAAATGGCAGAGCTATCGTTTCCTCGTCGTACGTGCCAACAGCCTTATTCTGTAGTTTTGCTTGGCACCGAGTGATATCGCAGAACAAGGGAAAAGAAGCAAACGCCAGAATGCGTACAGACAGGTGGCAGATGGGTCGGAATCGACGAGTGATTCATTAAGGTTCATGGCTTGATGGCGCAATAATGTCGAGACTGAAGAGTTCGTTTCATGAGGTAGGCCGTTCTGGTTGTCAGTTTAAGATGAAGTGCAAGAAGTTACCTCTCGAGTGCAAGTGGGATTTCCGGATCGAGTCATTTTAAAGGTTGATTTCACAAGATCGAATGCTCTCTCTGCATTGCAAAAGTGTTTGTGACGTCGATCCATCCTCGTCGGAAAGTCTCGGCTGGGCTGTGCTGGAGTA